TAAACAAAAGAAATATAAAATTTCCTGTCACAGGAACATGCTACATGTTGCTCCTGAATCCACTATATATAATTGAGCAAACATGCTACATACTGGCACCTTTGGATAAAAGATAAAAACATACGATGACCGTGTGAATACATACACACCTGTTCTTATTCTGGGGAAAAGTTGTCTTCTTCCCTACAGATAATCTGTATCTTCAGTTTGTTTTAACAAAGGCTTTTTTGTAATAATTGCCAACCATAGATTTGTGCTAATTTTTGGCTTATTTTTCACAGCCGTTGATAGGGTGCAAATGCACTTCTGTGTCTTCGATCATGGGAGTCTTCCTACTTTTCCTAATCAGATCCTACCTAGCTTGACATCATAATAATGTGGTGTCCGACACATAATGCTGTGCCTGATCTGGTCCTAGGAACTCCCTCCTTCACAGGTTTTGATATAGAAGAAAAAGTGCTGTAATTTAGAAGCTATTTACATGTATGTTAGTGATTAAATTCAACTAAAATAGGAATGGGCAATCAAAAGAGGAAGTATTATTGGAGAAAAAGTGGAATTGGGCTCGTGTAACTCATGAAATTTGGAGAAATTGAGCATGACTGACAGATTGACCGACCAGCACTTGGCTTTTATGTATATATTGATTTATTTTGCTCAAATTTTTTGTAATATTTGATTAAATATGACTGAAAATAAAAATTCAAGGTTATAGTGTTACTTATTTTGTTATTTAGTCTTGAAAACTTTGTTTTACAATGATTGTGAAACAAACCAAGCCTCATCACTCAATACTTACTTTTTATTCAAATCTGATTCAAATGAAAAATATTTAATGAAAACCAGTTATACAACTTGTATGGGTTAAACTTGATCAAATTTTAATTTAAATTATTAACTAAAATGTTTCAAAATTGGTTAAAACTAAATATAATTTTTATTAAAACAATAGCTCTGTAATTTTGAAAACAAAACATATGACAAAGGATAAATTCTGACTGACATATGGTCCAGATTGATTTCATTTTGATAGCTAGAGATTTAAGCTGAAAGGTCATGAATTGCAAATAGTCACGTTTACATGGTAAGTTTTAATCATGGCAAGGTTCCGTTTATTCTATGCAAGTATTTAAATACAGCCCACAAAAAATTGGATGGAAGTATTTTGACACATGCATTTTAGAAGGTATGGAAAAAAACATATAGCCAGAATTCTTTAACCATTTTGTGGTGGGTCACAGGTGAAAGGCCATGTCATCTCGTGTGTTGACTCGCATTCAAAATTTTATTGAATTACTATATCATGAATTTATGTCAATAAGTTTGGTATTAAACTGTAGATTATAATTCAAATTTTAAACTATACATTACATAATTTCTTAATTTAAAAGTAAATATTTAAGAAACAGAAACATTGATTTTTGTGTGTCACGTGGTATGTTGAATGCAGCACTGGTTCAAATTAGATGCTTGTGATGTCAAAATACTAAGTCTGTAGTTTTGTATGAATTAGGAATTCAAATTACAGATATTGACAAGCTATAATATAGAATAAGAGCATCTTATCTTTTCAATTTGTTAAGATATTTCTCATGTAATAAATCAAATGCAGTGGCACCCCGACCACCTCTTTCTGTTTTTGGAAGTGCTTCGTTATATACACTTCTATATATGACATGAATAACCAATCAGAAGCTCAGAATGTTCCTGTAGTGGCTTTCTCAGTCATTTTTAATGGGCTTGGACACCAATTCTTTCTTTTGAACCAATATTTCAAGGAGGTAGGGTGTGTCTTTAGTCTGCTCCAAATTTTATATTTTTTTAGACTAAAATACATCTTAGTTACTAAGCTTGATATATTATAGTGGAATTCTATGGTATTGATGTAGTAATTTATGATTCTTTAGTTATTCAAATGTATATATAAAACCTAAAAAAAGTATTTTGTTTCATATCCTCCATGTGCAATTTTTTTTAAAGGCTTAACAACCTACATCAAGCAGCACCTGAGTATGTAAGTTGGTTGTAACTAGGAGAGATAATTGTTTGCATTACTTCTTTATTTACTGTTCTGTGTTGTAGGAAAAATATGTTTAAGAACTTGTTTCAAAATAGCAATAATCTATGTACATGTATAATGTATAATAATTGAAATGCAACTGTATTTTATAAAATACTGGTCAACTAATACACAGCCAAGACAAGATACTTTGTACAGACCAAAGGTCAGTTTTGTTATTTGATATGATAACATGAGTGCACATGAGCTGTGTCATTGTAATTTCTGTATTGTTAGCCAGGCATGGGTGAAAGGACAATATAATAAA